AGAATCTGGAAGACTAGTAAGTTTTATATTTCTTCAGGTCATGTGCCCGGGCGGTCAGTCTGGGCAGTACTCCACAGCTAGCACTGTGACAATACAGCTGTTAAATTAAAAATATAATTAATTAAAATATTTATTATATACAGAAAGAAGACTTCCTATATTATTTTAAAAAGATATATTTGAAAGTATTTAATATAGTAAATATAAAATAAGATTTTATTATAATAAAACTTTCTCTGTATAATTCTTAAAAAGTATTTTAATATTTTAAAGATTTAAATTAAATATCTTTATTATTTTTAATATTATTATTTAATTAATTTATATATCTTGGTAAAATATCTTTAATTTTTTATTAATTAAATTATTAAAAAATAGAGATTAAAATATTACAGAAAGCTGGATTATCTTTACTTATTATTAATTAAATACTTAAAAAGATTTATAAAAATACAGAAATAATAATATAGAATACTATATTATTTTAATAAAAATTAGATTAATTTTATATAATAAATTAATATAAAAAGAATAAGAAAAAGACCTTAAAATATTTTCTATAAAAAAAATATATTAGATAGCTCTACTGCATATTATATTACTTAGAAAAAAAATATTAAGATTATATAGATAATAAAATATATTTAATATCAGCCATCATACTGCAGTAATTATAATAAAGAAAACTATAATTATCTTAAATATCCAGATAAAGTCAATATTTAGTTTACTTAAATATAAGTTATTTATATAATATTCAATTGCTTTAATTTAAAGCGATTATTACAATATAATAGGCAGAATAGTGGCTTGTTTATGAGGGTTGAGGATTACTGCGCTGGCTCGTTGTCGCGCCGCTTCGTTGTCCGATTACGTTATAGTTTTAATAAATTACACCAGTCCGCATTGATACAAAGAGGTGGCTGCTAATCGGATGGCATTTTACACATACGGACTGCATCCTATACCGGATTCTGTCTCTGCTGTACCAGCAGCACTCTGATTAGTAGCTGATCCTGGATTTTGACTTTCTAAATCGATCAGAGCGATTTTACAATACTTATATAGTATTCGATTAGAAAATCTTCTTCCCGGCTATTTGAGCATAATATTTTACTACTTTGCTCTTACCAGGGGATTTGGAGTGTATGAAGGTTATTAGAGTAGCTAAAATACTTATTGGGAATTTATATGACTTGTTTTCGGTGCTTATGGTGATCAAGAATACAATTATGTCAAATTAGATCTAATATGCAGTTTGAACGTGTGAGATTGTCATCTGTTTAGCAGTTGCCTAGATAGAGCGATATTTTTCGGGTGCTCTCCGAAATTACGTTACGTGTATGGGGAGGTACCGCATACTACTGTGTTTTCTGCAAGCCGAACTAGCTTGCTACAAAATAACTACTAATTACATCATAGTACTGTGGCGAGTAGAATCATGTGACGAGTTTTAGGGCCAGCGCATAGCGTAGTGTGGAAGATATGCCGAGTAACAAGGCAGGTACTACCTAAGGTATTAGATACAAATGCTAGTATGTATATATCAAATCAATGAAAGATTTACCCCGCGAAACTTCTATTTAATCTTACCAGCTGCACGTACACATTGAATGAAAATGTCTGATACAACCATTACATCCTGGTCCCCGACAGGCGCAATAGCAGCGGGTATTACTTGGAATTACATAAACTTACGTTTACGTTCAGCGGTGAAGCCTTCGGTTTGCTCATACTAAATTTCGTCCAGCCAGCTTGGACCTGACCAGTGTCACAATATTGTACAGAAAGCACCTGTTCGTGTAAACTGCCCTGGCAGTTGTCAAGGGATGACCTCTTCACACTCAGGTCATGCTCCCAGGCTGGATGCCAATGCCAGCACATCTGAAGATTCATCAGAAAATGGTGTTCATCTACAAACTAACAACAATGTCGACGGCCCATCGCTTGTTCCTGGTGACGAAAGGATAGAAGTGGTTGAGCCGAACAACTGCGACGTTGATTCAACAGAAACAGATTCCGGAAGTATTCTTCCAAGGGATATACAATTGAAGACGCCCACCTATGATTATGCCTTCGAAAAGTCAATGAGCCACGCTGAAGCAAAGCTCTTTTACCAGCATCACCAGATCGCATCTCGGAACCTTGATGGGGATCATCACAACGAAGCATCGGCTATGGCGACTTTAGTAGGCGACTCTGATCCTAGAGACATGGCAGGATCACCTCCAGCTATTAAAGTTACTGCTGTTTCCCCGGCCAACAAACCAGAAATGACTTTCCCAGCTGGGAAAAGTATTACTGACTTTTCTGCTTCGCAACAATATCCCGAGCCACATGAAGTGCATGTCATAAGACCCCAAAAGGAAGAAACATCCTTGTCACGTTCGCATAATGTGGAGAATACTAGCGACTCCTTGGGGCCAGTTCAGGGTATGATGAACATCGCAGCAGATAGCAGCGCGGTCACTTCTGAGTTGAATGTTATATGTCGCAAGATGAAAAACTTACTCGACCGCCGGGCGAAGTATATACAGCTGTCTCTGCAGGGGCCTGAGGATAACCCGAAAGATCATCCCGACTGGGAGATATACCCTCCTCCCCCGGAACCAGCCTGGGATAACGAGGGGGACATTGGTAGAAGTGCCGATAGCTCCCGTATCGATCAAAAAAGACGGAAAATGGGGCAAGACGTTGGAGAAGATTTTGACATGGCCCATTGCTTGCCGCTTCCTACAGAGTCCCGCTGGGTATACAGACTGGATGAAAATAGTGTATATCAAGTCTATGAAAACGATGCAGCGGCTGATTTACGACAGCCTGTGGTTAATATCCCATCCCTGCGGGATTTTTATATGGACCTTGATGCGGTAACGGACGTTTCAACAGACGGCCCAGCTAAAAGCTTTGCGTTCAAGCGGCTTTCCTACTTGGAAGGGAAGTTCCAGCTCTATGCTCTCCTAAACGAATACCAAGAGATCGCCGACAGCAAGAAAGTACCTCATAGAGATTTTTACAATGTCCGAAAAGTCGACACACATGTTCATCACTCTGCGTGTATGAATCAGAAACACCTTCTTCGTTTCATCAAGAGCAAGATGAAGAAATCCCCGGACGAAGTAGTATTGTTTCGAGACGGCAAGCATCTGACACTGAGAGAAGTCTTTGAGAGTATTAATTTGACGGCTTATGACTTGAGTATCGATACGCTTGATATGCATGTATGTCTCAAAGTATTACCCTTAACCGTTTAGCTACTAAATGTGGTATAGGCACATACCGATTCATTTCACCGTTTTGACAAGTTTAACCTCAAGTACAACCCTGTGGGTGAATCAAGGCTGCGTGAAATATTCCTGAAAACAGATAATTTCATCAAGGGACGCTATCTGGCCGAGATAACCAAGGAAGTAATCTCTGACTTGGAATCAAGCAAATACCAAATGGTGGAATGGCGCATCTCCATATATGGACGATCCATTCAGGAGTGGGACAAGCTTGCAGCCTGGGTTGTTGACAATAAGCTCTTTTCTCCTAATGTCCGTTGGCTGATCCAGGTACCTCGGCTGTATGATGTGTACAAATCGAGTGGCATGATGGAGAATTTCGAGCAGGTGATCACAAACGTTTTCCAGCCATTGTTCGAAGTGACAAAGGATCCAAATAGCCACCCCAAGCTCCATATTTTTTTGCAACGAGTGGTTGGGTTTGACAGTGTTGACGACGAGAGCAAAGCAGAGCGGCGACTATACAGGAAATATCCAATTCCAAGGGAATGGAATACGAAGCAAAACCCTCCGTATAGCTATTGGTTATATTTCATGTTTGCCAACATCGCATCTCTCAATACCTGGCGCAAGCAACGCGGTTTTAACACATTTGTCTTGAGGCCACACTGTGGCGAGGCTGGGGATCCCGATCATCTTGCAGTGGGATTTCTGTGCTGCCATAGTATCAGTCATGGAATCCTTCTGAGGAAGGTTCCCCTGCTGCAGTACCTATATTATCTCGACCAGATAGGCATTGCTATGTCACCCCTCAGTAACAATGCGCTGTTTCTAACCTATGACAAGAACCCTTGTGCGAACTTTTTCAAGAGAGGCCTCAACGTTTCCTTGTCTACTGACGATCCCTTGCAGTTTGCTTTTACCAAGGAGCCCCTTATCGAGGAATATTCAGTCGCTGCGCAGATCTACAAGTTTAGTGCGGTAGATATGTGTGAGCTTGCAAAGCATTCAGTCGAACAAAGTGGATTTGAAGTATCTCTGAAGAAGAGATGGCTAGGCAACGATTGCTGCCTACAGGGTGTCGCAGGAAACAATGTTGCCAAAAGCAATGTTCCTGACATTCGTGAACAGTTTAGGCATGAAACTTTGATCGGGGAATTGACACTGTAGGTTTCAATCCTTTGGCATGCGTGGAATGATACCGTGCTATTAATTACAAAAAAGAGGATATTGGCTAACTGTAGGTTCCTCAGGATCGAGCGACATGCAAGCACGGGGGACGATACAACAGCTCGTTTGAGAGGTTCCAATGTTGCCGCTATCAGTCACTTGGGATCTTCGGGGCCACTGCTTCCTCAGGTACGAGGTGATCCGGGTTCAGGTATGCTTTTACATATCTAGGTACCGAGTGATCTGGTGCTTATGCTGTCATAGTCTCATTGGATTGTACCGATGACTCTTCAACTTCTCAGTACCAAAGAGCAGGTGTACGAGATGACTGCATAGACCCGCAGGCCGCGAGCCCAAATGTCAGAAAAAGTGCATCCGTTGGCGGCTTACCAGCACAAGATCCCACTGCTCCTGGGGAGTTTAGCACGTCTTCTAGCAGCACTAGCACTGCTGCCAAATCTACGCTCAACACGGACCCTATACCAGAACAAAAGATCTTCCCAGGCATTGTGCATGAAAGAGCTCACCGGAGTAACATACCAATTGATGGCATTACTACGGAGGACGGAGAGGAATGATTACGACATACGTTCAACATGGGCAGCAGGTTTGAGGTAGTATTAGTCTGGATAGAACCAATGCGATTGATGTGTCAGCCGTGGTTTCATCGCTTAGGACCCTGCAAAAGAAGACAATAATGCCACCCATGAATATGAGACATACCTAGATCTTGTATCCTGAGTTTTCACATATGATTCAGGACAGTTCTTTCTTTCATAATAGAGCTGTATCAGATGGCCCAGCTACCCTTTCGTTCACACACCCCCCATGCTCCATGAATACCGTCGTCAGCCACTTTGGGCCGTTTCCTAGCCCACTCTTGTATATATAAACGCAGTGCCATCCATCGCATACATAGGCCCTTCTCTACCTTCCGATCCGTTGGACCTTCATCCATGACGCTGACGTAACCCTTCGCATCTGTCTTGAGGTCATCACGTCTAAGATCTGCTACAGAGATTCCAGAAACGATACTGAGCTCATGGTCGTAGTAGCGCGCAACACAGGGATAGCCCAGGGACAAATAATTGTAGATCTGAGTCACAAAGCTATCAGTCAACTCATGATCAAGGTCCTGGTCGCTAGCATGTTGTCTCGTGTGCCTCGAGTCCAAACTTTCGGCATCCCTTGAGAAATCCAACGACGGCCAATTCTCATGACCTGTGAGGGTTTCGGTTGAGCATTGAGAATATCCACCGGCATTGCCGCTTGACCGCGGGCTCGATGACTGCGAAACGTCCAACCGCGAAAGGCGCTTGTTGGATTTACAAGTTCCCATCCAAAGACCGCCACCATCAGAATCATCGAAAAGGTGGCGGTCTGCATACCAAAGCCCAGCATTGTGATACTGTTTTTCTTGCGTGACGTAATGTTCAACATTGCTGCTCTCACATATTGTCGCTTCGGGTGAAACACTTTGCGGAAATACAAGATCCTCTCCAAGCATGGGCGGGCTTATGCCTGGCTTGATTTGTGTCAAACCAAACCCACCGGCCCAGTTTCCGCAAGACCCGCTCACTCCGTCAAAAGGTCGCCTATCAGTAGGTGAGAAATGCAGTCCTTTTGTTCCAGCCATAGCACGATCACACATCTCGGCCTCCTCCTTATGCCTGCGCAAGTACTCGAGTTCCCATGGTAGATCTGCGGACGAGGCCCTTCGATGGATGCCTGATGTAAATATGTTTGTACGGACTTGCAACTTTTCATCCTTCGAAGAGTCATCATCCTCTCTATCAACTGCGAAGTGATCCACGGGCTGATAGACTTGTTCGTTAGGGAAAGCCGCGAGGGCCTGCTCCTTTAGTTGATTTTCTGCAGAATGGGCTGCTAGAGCTACCACATACTCCGATAATTGATTTGCATGACGCTCATTTAAATGAGTCTTCTGTCTCATAGAAGGCCCAGGATGAGTAGTAGGTAATGATGGTTGCCCTGGAGAAACTTCTGAATCATCAGAATCCTCACTACAACTCGATGGAATTGCAGGAAGATCAGGTATTCGGAAAGAATGTCTTCTGGTTTCCTGGCGTCGTTGCAAATTTGCATATGAAAAACAAGACTCTTCTATGCCGGTGACATCATCGGCGAATTGGTCCTTAATACTTTCGTGGTTTGGAAATCGAGGCAATGCTTCTGGTATGCTTTCACTGTGATGAATATGCCTCATCTGCTGTCGCCGAAACGATCGTTTGCCAGTCTCCACGAGTTGTGGTGTGAATTTCCTGGGAAACAGGAGCACGGAGTTTCTCGGACCTACAGAGCGTGGTTCTTTCTTGAATTGCTTGTCTTCCCGGGCCACCCCAGTTGGCACAGTTAAGCTAACGGCTTCGTTGACTGCTGGCCCTGAAACTATATCATTCGTTCCAGAACTATCGCGGACGGGCTGCGGAGACCTTTCTGTTACAAGTTGACGCGAGCTATTCTTAGGTTTAGGTGACTGTTCGTTGGAGCCTCGTGAGCCCTTCTGTGTCGACGGGCTGGTTTCTCGGAAGGTAGCCTTAGGGTCCCTAGAACTGCGGGAAGAAGTTTCGACAGGTTCGGGCAGGAAACGCCTGGCCCTTTTATCTGATGTGAGACCTCGATGAGACATAGCTTCGTCTTCGCTAAGGACGAAGATCACAGAGGCCCCTTTGTTCCCTTCGGCCTTTGGCTTCTTCCAAACCCGGCACCCAAGTAAATACAGTGCCTCATTCCAAGGTCACTCACTATGTTAGCAGCACTTTCATGTGATAAACTCAGCATTCCTATGCCTCATATGTGATAACCACATATAGTGGGTGCGGAAGTCCGAAGTCTTGTATTCGAGGGTTGTTTCACTGCAACAGAGGTGCTTTAGCCACTCAACCCCACCTGGTGTGGTTGAAAGGTAGCTTGCATGAGTATCATGTGACAGTAGTTACTTACAAGGGGACCTGTCTTGTCACATGACAGTCATTGATGAAGTGTACGATCGTTGCCCCACAATATATGCCTAATCATCCCACCTTCCTAACTAAGCTTACACTAGTTTACCTACCAAAACAATGCATATGAAGCCCCTAATTATAGAATATTACAAAAGTTATTTAGATTATGGTATTAAGATTTTACAATGTAATATCTTTATATAGACACCTATGTAAGACCTCATGATAAAAGGCTTTGTACACGTTGTTGGCGCAGGAGTCTAACTTTTGAAATTACGCCGCAACGCAGGCCCTTACAGGCTACAAAATTTGATAGGCTTCTTCTGAATGTAGCCGTTATTATTTGATACTAATTTTATTTGGTCAGCTTAATAATTGCGACTATGGTGTTAATGATTACAAAATAATCTTCTCAAGTAATTTCTATAGGGAAATCTGAATATCTCTAAGAACACGCTTTAGACCTCAAATATAATGGGAACATAATACTTAAACACCTCAAATAAAGCAAGGACTTTTAAATACTCTAAGCCAATTGTTAATCATATCGAGAACATACAAAAATCTTCGATCAGGGAAGTGCAGCACATTATAATAATAATATCATTATATTGGATTGTGCCTGGCAGGATCTAACTAGGGTTATATTTTATTTATGTATTTTTAGAACAAATCTACAACTTTTCTAGTAATATTCTATGATGCTAATATTTTACAGGAATGCTATTTTCTTTAATTCTAAATATTGTTCAATAATATAAATTTTATAATTTAAAGATTTTTTAAAATAACACTGTGTGATAGGATTTACTTGTCAAGATAAAAAATCTATTAACTAGATAGGGAATCAACCACCAAATATTATATATCCATATAATATTAATAAAGATAGCCTATAACTATAAGATAGACTAATCCTTAAAAAATTAATTCATTATAAAATAATCAGTACCTTATAAGTATTAGAAAGATATAGAATTACTACTAATAATCTTATAATTTTTATAATTATTATAATATATTATCCTGATAACCCTGGCCTTGATAACTGGGTTATTTTATTATAAATAATATTTTTTATTGGGACGAGCCATCTAGCTTTAATTTTAAAAATAGTTTTATATATTCTTAATTCAGAAAAATAGGGATCTGATAACAAAAAATAAAAATTTTATAAAATAAATAATGTAAATAAAATTATGTATAAATTCTATATAATTTTATAAATATTCAATTATATTTACATGAGTAGATCTATTATAAAAAAATATAAATAAAAAATTTTTTATATTATTTTTTTTCTCTTCTTCTTTTATCCTGTAGTTATTATTTCTTTAATTATTTATAACAATTTTATTTATTTTCTATTATTATTTTACATATTATTTATCATTTTCATTATTATATTTTAATTATTTAATAATTAAATAACTTTTTATATTTATTTCCTACTTCATTCGCCCGTAAATTATATATTTTATATTAACTATTTTAATATATCTTTTAAAAAAGCTCCCAAGAAGATTTATATATTATAGAAATAATTTATTAAAATTTATTATTTTTTTATATATATTATCTCTGTACTGTCAATACCAATTTTAATATTATAAAAAAAAGTTTTTATAATATTAATTATTATTAAAATATTTATACTTTAATATTATATCACCAGTGTTCTGATAAGAGAAAGATATATTTTATTATATATATTATTTAATTTTCTTATTATATTAAATATAAAACAAATATTTATTAGATTAATATAATAATATTTAGTAATATTTATTATTTTATTATAATTCTTAAAATAACAGGTGGAGTTAATAAACTTTAATTAAATAATAATATTAAATATTTTATTTTTAAAAAATATTAAATTTAATTATTATATATAATTATATAAAATTAGTTTATACTTGTCAGTTTAGTTTCAAGAAAATAAAGAAGATTATTTAAATATAAAAATCTTATAAATAACTGGAATAGATAGCTAATTAATAATATTTTGATAAATAAATATAATAGAATATAATTTATTTCTAATTATTTATTATTAATTTATTAATTTTATCTCCCGCCAGTACTACCCCTGAGAAGTATTAAATATATAAATATAATTTATTATTTTATTTAATACCAGGAGATAAAGATTATATAATCTAAATTTTAATTTTAAAATTTTATTTAAAAATTATTATTAAGATAGCTCATATCTAGTATTCTAATATTATTAATAATAAAATATTAGATAACATTAACTTTAACAAATATATTAATACTTATAAAATTAATAATCTTATTAAATATCTTTTATTTTTATTTCTAGCTTATAAAAAATAATAATTTTGATTTTAAAATTTTAATAAAATAATTATTCCACAGGATTAAATGTATATTAAATCATAATAAATAAAATTATTAATATATATGGATGTAATTTATTACTTATAATAATATTTAAAATATATTTATTAATATATTAATGTAATATTATATACTTTTAATTTATTTTTAAGATCTAAGTCTATTATAATTAACTAATTAGTAATACTTTATTTGGTTTTCTTTAATTAATATAATTTCTGGTATGTTTTCTGGTAATTTATAATATTTTTTTATATATTTATTAAATTTTAACAGGAATTTATTAATTATATTTATTTAGTTAATTTTTTCTATTCAATTAAATAGTAATCCTGCTTATTATAATATATAATCTTTAATTTTTTTAATTTCTTACTTATTTTTATTATCTAGTTCTAGTATTAGAAGTAATTTTTTATAATTTTTATTAATACTTTAGAGTTCCAACAAAAAGACATGAAATTTATTATAAATTTATTTATATTTTCTAAATAGATATAAATAATATACCCAAAATCTAATATATACAAGAATTTAAAAAATTCTTATAAATTTTAGAATTAATTTTCTTGATTCTTTGAGCTGTAGATTCTAGATTAATAATTTAATTAAACTTTTTAAAGTAGAATAGCTTTCTATATTTATTATAATATTTTTTTATTTTTTTATAATAATTTATGATATTTTTTATTACTATTCTCTTATTTTTTAAAATTTTTTAATTTTATTTTACATAATTGGAATCTCCTTTTAAAAAAATTATTTTTAATTCTGATATAAAAGTCTGGCGAGTAACTATATAAAATATTATAAGATAATAAATTAATAATTATATTATTTATATTATTATAAATAAATTAAGCAGTTAAAAAAAATAATAATTAATTAACATTAAATTAATTTGAGTAATATTAGAGATAATATTTAAAAATCTGGTTTATTTATTCTGTTGAATTATTTTAAAAATAGAATATTATTAATAACTTTAAGATTATATATTTAGTATAGATTAAATTTAACCAGAAGTTACTAGTAAAGATTAATTCTTAATTAAATATAATTTTATTTAAAATTTAACAATTAATTCAACCTGCTTATAAAATAATGTAATAAAATTAAAAATAATTATTATTAATAGAATAATAAAAAAAGATAATATTTTAAAAATTCATCTATAATAATAAGAATAATACTAATACTTTTCTTATATTAAATAATAAAAAGTAATCCTGTAATAAAATCTTTTAATAATTTAAGATTATTATATAATTAATACTTTAGAATAGTAGTTTCTTAATATATTAAATAAATTTAAATATACTCAGTTATATCATGCTATAATCTATTCTAACAATTTTTTTATATAATAATATTTTCATTTAAATTTTTCTAAAGTATTCTATTAATAAATTATTATAATATAATTTAATAAGTTCTTAGTACAGTATCTCTGAAGATAGAATATAATATTTATTTTTAAGATAAATATAATTTATAATTTTAATTATTTAATATTTTTAGTCTAGTTATCTTTATTAAATAATAACTTTTTATTATTATATCTCTAAATCTTTATTTTATAAATATAAAATTAATTTTTTAAATTTAAAATTATATATATTTAAATATGAAACTTTTATAGTACACACTTGTGATACTATAGATTAAAAAATAAATTTTTTTAAATAATTTAGTCAGCTGTTTCTATACCAGCTTAATTATTAAAATTTTTTAAACTTTATATTATATAGATATTAAACCCAGGGTAATCCTATATATTTTAATATTTAAATTAAAATTTTTCTTTAATGAAATTCTTTATTATTAAAAAGAATATATTTCTAAATTATTCTTGAATCAGAATTAATAACTTTTTTTAAAAAACTAGTTCTATCTAAAATTTTATAAATATTTTAAAAAATTTATTTACTGGATTTAACTTTCCTGTTTTATATTTAATAATTAAACTATAAAAAATTAAATTTATAAAATTAAGCTTGCTTTCTATTAACTCTAGTCTAATATATAAAAAATTATAAATTTAAATAATTCAATAAATAACTCTTAATCTAGAGTATTAGAATTTAATTTAATATTAAAGAACTTATAAAATTAAAATATAATAAAATAAAATATACTTTTAATATGAGTTTAAAATAGAATATTATTTATTTTCTTTAATATATCAGTTTCTAAACAGCAGGATTTTATAAAATCAAAATATATTAATAAAAATGCTTGTTGAAAGACAGTAATCAAATGATAAAAAATAATTTTTTTCAATTTTTATTTCTTAACTATTCTCTAGAATAAGAAAATAAGGGGTAATATAATATAAGAATAATCTTAAATAAATTATTAATAAAAATTATAGAATCTAAGAAAGATCTGAATATTACAATAATTTTTAAAAACTAGTTATAAAACAATATTATTTACTTACTAAAAATCAATGGATACTTTATTAAAATTAATAATATATTCTAGAAATTCAATCTAGAATTAGTAAAATAAATATTTTAATAATTTTATATAAAAATTAAACTTCTTAGAGTCTCTCCAGTA